AACGTCTCGTGTTGCTGCGGCGGCAAAAATGTTTTCACGTTCCTGACGGGGGCGAACGTGACGTCGGCGAGGACGAGCGAGAGGCGCTCAACGCACCTGGGCGGCGTACGTGATGGCTTCCAGCTGCAGAGCCGACAGGCAGCCGCGGTCGATGACCTCCTCCGGGATGGTCAGGCGGTACCACACGTCAGGTGGGCTCACGCTCGACAGGGAGCTGGTCTCCACCACTGGGTCGGGATGGCGCAGGCCAACTTTCACTATGTGGCACAAAGGGCGACTTTTCAGAGGCGTGCCAGCACCAAGCAAAATGCTCATGCGGCGGCCGCCTGAAGAGGCGCCTGACTGCACGGACGAGTTTTTCAAGATACGGGCCACCCGTTGGATGATTTTTGCTTTGCCAGCCAAAGTGGTGTATGGTGGCAGCCAACTCCATTCGCCACAACAACAACAAGCGGCAGTTTGGCAGACGGCGCAAAGTTATTTTGAAAAAGAGGATTCAAGCTGTGCAATAGCACTCCCAGTTGAAGTTTCGCATATTCAACATGAAACAAAGAATTTAAAACAGCCACGTAGCTTCAGCATGGGCTAACAGGTGTGGCTAACTAATAACATCTGTGTCATGGTGCTCCAACCCAAAAAGCAACAGCTATTTACGTCGCGCGCATAGGCAGGACAACGATGGTCACAGGCACTTTTGGAGTATCATCCCCTGAAGAGCGGTGAACATCCCCGCATGCAACATACTGCCCACAGGTGGCTATGGCACACACACCAGAATGAGCAACACAATTTTGTTCATTGAGAGGGAGGCTGTGATGTACTAATGGCATTTTGATTCATTGCGGAAAGATGTTTTGAGATACGATCACGGTCATGCAGCATGTCAAACTCATCTCTAACACTGCATTTGTTGCACAAAGTGCTCTTAATTTGTCCCGACAGTACAATCCTTTGATTTCAACGTGTTTCTCGTGACTCAACTGCTTTCGGTAAATGAATGCCTCAATCTCAAAAATACTGGCCTGACCCCGGTATTTATGAGACAACAAACCCAACACAACCCAATTCAGCAGCCTTCCGTTGGCCATACGTACACTTCATCGGCATGTACTCCGCGTACGTCTCCGCATGACCCAATTCCTCCTCTTCCTCCTCCTCGGGCTCGTCCTCGTCCCTCATCCCGGGCGCGTTCTGCACAGCGACGGACAACTGGTAAAGACATGCGTCTGCTTTAAGCAGATGCGATCCGGCGGCCTATCGCACGCACCGGCGAATGTGAGAAAGCGTGCATTTTGAGCTCGTCGTGATTCCAGGTTCCAATGTTTTCTTTCGCCGGGTTTTCTTTCTTGACGCCATTGTTCATCTCACCTGTGGCCGGAACACATGGGTGGCATGTTAATGTTTGCGTGTAGTGTCACCTTGGCATAGGGCGGGGCTGCACACCAAACTCACTGGGGCCCGTAGCGGTAGCAACCGGCGTGGCGATGTCCGGCGGCGGCTTGAGTTTCATGAGCTCCACCAGACTGTTGCCCTTCAGGGCCGAACTCTTCCCCCCTCCCGCCCTGAGGAGGTCTTTTAACTGAATCTGTTCAACGGTTCAACGCACGCGTCAGAGAAGCTGGCGGAAAGGCCGAGAAAATGGCACATTTTTACCTGGTCATGGTTTGAAGGCACAACTGCGGATGCTGAGGGGGCGTTGCTCGTGGAGGTGGCCGTGGATGAGCCCCGCGTGGCGCTGTTGGCCACGTGGACCACCTTGGTGACGGTGATGGTGTGCTTGACCGGGTTGCCGGCCGACTGCTTGGTGGGCGCCGCCCCGAGCGAGGGCAGCTGATTGAGCTGATTTAAGACAAACGTGGTGGTCGAGGGCTGAGGTTTATGGTGCTGTGGGACAGAAAAAAACAAACTAAGGTTTTAATCCCCGCAAAACCCCGCTACATGTAATCCTATTTTTTGATATATATTAATTCATTACCCTGATAGTCACGATGGGGCCTGGAGACTGCGTTTCGGTTCGAGCAACTTCCCCGGATTCCGTCCCTAAGCCGACGTCCAGGGCGTTGATGGAGATAGACTGAAAGATAAGCAGGAACGTTATTAGTCCACCAAAATCCTTGACTTGACTCTTTGCGGGTAAGAGGGCGAGGGCCATCTTACTTGCTGAGCTGTGGAGGGCTGCGCGACATCCTGAGAATCGACGTCAAAAACTCCGATGTCGTTGGGGCAAATGCCGCTCTCGCTGAGAGCCGTGAGAAGTAAATCCTGCCCGGGATCCATCTGCAAGATGCAGAAAAAATAAAATAAATCATTGAAATATATTGTTAACACCACAAGACACAAAAATACTGGAGGAATAAAGCTCAACTATTGCAAGACTAAATCAGCTTTTAAACGATGCAATTTTACATTGAAGTTATATTACAAGCGGGGGAAAGGCCGGGAATACGTTAAAAAAATTAATTCAAATTATATTTCTTAAATTCTTAATATAGTCAACATGTTCGGGGAATCTTGTAGCATCTTCCCACGTACATGAACATTGTACGATTGCAGTTAATTCAAAAAAAGTGACCACGCTTGACCAAAATGCATTGCCAACAGCATGACATCCACATAACACGACGAAAATGAGTTCCATGGGAAACCTCTGAATTTTGGGGTGAAACGTTAAAGTTTCAATGGCACCTTATGGTGATTCTTGCATGAAAAAAAAACGTGTTATGAAGATTAAAAAAACTCAAAAAAGATGCAAATGGGGCGATAAAAAAAACGACAGATGAAAATTTTGAAACCACAGCCAAAGACATCGTTACTTTGCCAAAATGCCTGCTAAATTATTTTTGGGGGGGTCGGTAAAATATGAATATGACGATGTAAATGAGAAGGTCGGGTCAATCGAGACACGTGTTTGCTGCGTCCGACTTCCTGCTTCCTCATGACAACGTCGCTGCTAACAACGCATAACAGCACCCTGCAAATCACTATTTTGCACATAAACACGCAAAGGCGTTCGGACCGACTCAATACTTGTATAAGTACTCATTTTGTTTATTAGCTGCCTGATTTTTTTTTTTTTTTTTTTTTTTGCTCGACTGCCCTCGGGCAGGGTGACACAGCTCGGGCCAGTCTGGCTAGCTTGGCTAGGCAAGACGAAACGAAAGCAAACCAAATTTGTATTTTTGAGGCCCGAAAGGCAAATTGGGCTAAATATGAGTTGAAAATTTGATCGTGTCGTGCCTTGCGGAATAAACAAACGCTGTCATTGTTCGTGACAGTAAACAACCGAGGCGAGCCCGCAATGTCAGTTCCTAAACGCAACACACTATGATTATGCATGCGCTTTTCTTTATTAGCAATATTATTATTTGTGTCGCGGGGTATGCCGGAGCATAAGCCGTCTGAATTCAGGCGCAAGCCACGGTCCAAGTGAGGGGAAAAAAGGGACCCACGACTTGGTAAACAGCCCCGGCGAACTCGCAATGTCAGCCGCGTAGCTGAACGTAACACGATGGTACCTGAAGGCAGCATTTTATTTGTTTTACGTGCCTCCTTTTAAGCACGTTTAGCTCAGATTAGTTGTTAGAAGAGTTCCGATTTCGAAAGGGTTCAGCCGAAAGCGAGCTAACTAGCTCGACTTGTACCGGAGACACGAGTGCACCAAGGGCGAAGACGTCGGGCGACCCCTCCGACAACTGCGCGTAGAGGGGGCACTAAAACGCGACTAAGTTCGCGGGTTTGCCTCGCCTGTTTGTGTCATTGCCGCGGCTAAGCTAACGTTAGCGACGCTGAATGGCAAAAGGCAGCCACCGCACACCGGGTAGTTCTGAAAAAGCGCACACACAATAATCCCAAGCGTCCGGTAAATTCTTGTTTTCCCGACGTAGTTCCGAAGAGAGTGGCCTTACTTGAGGGGCGGTTGACGGGGCACTGTACGTCCGCAATAAGGGCGCCTCGCAGCGCTCGTTCGGTTGTTGTCCTGTCCGCGCCGCCGCGCTCACGCCATCTTCTTCTTCTTTTTTTTAATCAAACTCTACGCCGCATGCTGGTCACGTGACGTGCACTAGGCCTAGCTTAGCCGCCTCTGCCCCCGGCTCTTCCCGTCGTCGAGGGCTTCGTCCCGGCGTCGGCCCTCCAGCACCGATGCGGTCGTTCGAGCCGGCGCACCCCCTCGACAGAGCATCGGCACAAAGGAAAAGCGCGGCCTTCTTTGATGCCTTTGACGCAAACGACAAACATCGCATCGATCAAACGTAGTAGCAAAGCGTCACGTGATCCCCGGACAATTCTGAAGTCTTCTTCTTCTTGTTCTCGCATAAGTTCAATGAACGCTCGGCACCCTGGCGCCACCTGCCGACTCGAAGTGTGAAAAATAAAATTGTTATGAACTCTCTTATCTTTCTCTCTATCCATCTATCTAATCCATCTCCAATTCCCTTGAAATCTGGAAACATGAAGACACCAATTTCTGAAGTTATACCCCGATCTGAAATTCTAATATTGCCTATACATATTCAATTTTCATTAAATGTGTTTATTTTAACCATGTAGTGAATTACTGAAGAATTGTGACTCGTGGCGATACCATAAGGGGAAGTGACATATTTACAGATTGGATTTTTTTGGTGTGTCTCTTTCCGCCCCCCTCTCTTTTGTTATAGATAGATAATTCCCAAAGTGGTAATTCGGGTGTTACAGCAAATGGTTGAAAATAAAAAGGGGAAAAAACAAGAAATAGAATAAAAATACACGTCAAGAAGGTGTTATTGACAACGTCCTTTTGAACGGCAAAGTGGCATCCAAATTCCTGTTGTTGCTTTCAGAAAGCGTTTCCCAGAAGCGAAAGTGACGACACTAACTTCGCGGGTTTCTGGAAATGCAGGTATCAAAATATTTTTTAAATACAAAAACACGTGGAAACTTAAGTAGTTACTATGTTTTTATTGTTTGCTCGTTTCTTTGAAACATGTTATCAAGTGGTTGGTTCAAAAGCGGAAGTGACAACACTGATTTCTTCGCCGGGCGGTTCTGGTTCTCCAGCTCGTGTCAAACTTTTATAAATGCACACTAGTAGTCACACATTTAGGAAAAGATGCACAGTAAGATAGCTACACTCAAAACTTTAAATATTATTAAATCAAAACGATAATACGTACCGTCGTTATTTTATTATTACAGTACAGTGCGGGCTACGTGGGGGGCGACATTTCCCCCTCTCGCCGCTGTTACGGTACATGAGGGAAAAATGGCGAACTCGCCGTAGCAGCCTTGGACGCCGCTTTGGTTTGAGCCGCGTAAAGCTGAAGACGGCAGACGGTTTAGTGTCTTTGGACCTGGTGTTTTGATCTTCGCAAGGACGGGGGTGGTAGGAGAGAGCTGTGCGTGGAACCACTGGTCGGATATGAACGGGGTAAGTTGGAGACATGTTGGACACAATATCCCAGCTTCCCAGAAGAGGAACAAATAAAATGACCAAATGTGAATTTCTAGAGTTTAATTCTACACCCCAAAGTAGGAAACGTTTGGAATTGTATCATATTTATTGGCTAGCCAAAACGAAAAGGGGCAACTAATGGTGGTTTAAAGCTTGCTATGAATTGTCGTGACGTTTATTAAACTTAAAAACAGCTAAGCTAACAAATTGAAACCTGAGAACAGCTTTTAATTACATAGTAGCTTCGTTTTTTTTTTTGTTGGTTTATTGACCCTTCACATCAAGCATGTCGCCTTGTAGTTTGAACGTTTAAAGGAAACTGGGTGTGGGCGTGGTTCCGCCTCCAGTCCACGTAAACTCGTCCGTAAATGGCGCTTCCATATTGAATGTGGCATAGTAGTGTGCTTCACCACCACTTATCTATTTTTCCCCTTCCTTCTTGGATTTGCTTGATTTCTCCTGATACCACACATGCTTTGAAATATTTTCTCTTTTTAAATTAAACAAATGACAAACCAATCAAATGCAAATCCGTTATACACACAAGCGGAGTTGTCAGGATGTGACTCTCGCCTCTGCTCCCACAGGAAATCATATGCTGTCCACAATGTGTCACCGTTTCAAGTTGCCCTCAGTCCACGTCTCCGGTCTGCGATGACAAGATGGCGCAGCAGGGAAGATGCCCTTCCCTGTGTTGTCAGACGAATGATGTCCAGAGGCTGGGAGAAGGTACATATCAGGTTGCGGCAGTTTAGGAAAAGGTGGACCAGGGTTTTTCATGGCTCAAAGTGAGGCAGGGTTGGTACGGGTTTGATACTTTGTATGCTGCGTCCCCCGCTGGCTTTTTTTGTAAACTTTAGAGTATATGCATGCAATTAAAAAAATACATTTTTACAATAGTTGTTACAGGAGTCATTCTGACTTCACAGTTGTTCATGGTATTATTTATGAAAAAATCGTTTTCGATTGCAAGGTACAGTGTAACTTTTGTAGTACAAAGCAACTCTACACAATTTAATACCAATCAGGTGGCCACCTCTACATTTGATATAGAGGAAAAACCCTGTGGACATGAAACAAATCATTGAAACTTCTGACAGATAGATTTGTTTCCCTTCCCACCAGGCCGGATGGCAAACGGCATCGGCTCGATGACGAAAGATTGCAACTCTTCGGATGCAGCAAGGCAGCCTACCTCTTGCTGGTCAGACGAAGGCACATCACCTGTACCGTTTCAACGTCGCCTTCAGCCTGCCACAGAGCGGCCCCCGCAGTTGGCTCCTGACAGGCCACCGGCTCCTTTGCACAGCAGAAACCGGAGCACGGCCGTGTCCCGCCGTCATCAGAAGAAGAGAGTCACGTCCAAAGCGTGCGCTGGTTTTTGTCACTATTAATCACCTCATGTTGATTTAGTGCGTGTCTCATCCTGCCCCTGTCCCCAAACAGGGCCCAAGGAAAAACCTCCCAGAACCGAAAAGTTACTGACTTCTTTCCAATAAGGCGCAGCTCACGAAAAAGTAAAACGGAGCTCAAGGTAACTTGAAACTTTTAGTTTTGTCAAATTCAGTTTCATCCAGTTCTGATCCAGATTGCATATTAGTAAAATATTTAAATTTGGGTGTAAATTCATACATTGATATCATTACAAATAGGATAAAATTAAGGGGGGAAAAAATCATACAAAATAGTCAAATTCTTAAAAAAATGTCAAATAAATTCAATCCACAATTTAATTTGCACTCGTTAAAGAATGCACATTGATGAAATTAAGACTGATAATGTCAGTCATCTTTTTAGGATGCACGGGAAAGAAAATAATGGATGGATCAATTCCAGATCATCAAATTAGTCTTGTAAAAGGATTAAAAATGTCAAATCCAGTCGAATCTACTCTAGATCAGATCCAGATTGCAAATCAAAAAGCAATGTAAATGTTTGTCATTTCTTGCTTTCAAACGATCTTCCTTGTGTCTTTAAAAATTCTACCAGGAGGTAATAATGTTCAGTCACATTAATGCTACAAACGATGCACTAACTTGCTCCCTTTTGTGTCCAGTGCGAACAGAAGAACCTCATCGACCACCTCATCACAAACGGCATCGAGGAAGGAATGCAGGTACAGACCTTTCCTACTTTGACTTCCGACACCTTGAACATGGCAGGGGAAAAAAAAAAGATACAATGAGTGAAATCTTTGAAAGTTAATTCGCATCAGATCTTGACTGCGCATTTGTATGCACTGTCAACACAGGTGAGAAGCCACAATGATCACTTCATGACACAGACAGTATAAAGAGTGAGACCATAAGATGGGTCGCATCTGGTTTGATCCAGTTCAGATCCAGATTGGTCAGCATTTTCAATTTTGGTGAGATTCCAGGCATGGCTGATGCAATTAGAAAACTAAAAATACGTAAATGAGTGGAGTAACTTTAGAACATGTAGAAGAAAATTTAATCCAGGTCTGATCTAAATGTGTCCACGTTTTAAATTTGAGTGAAAGTCCACAAAAGGATTAATTGACGAAAATACTTTTTGTATCCTGTAATGTGCGGGGGGAGGGGGCGGGGGGGGTGCAATGGCAAAGGTTTAATCCGGATCTGATCCGGATATCACATTTCGAAGCGATGTAAACACATCATGTAAAAAACAAAAATCTTATTTTGAAGGTGCAGCACATGGAGGGAAAGGGCCGAGCGGTGTTTGCCGCACGTCGCTTCCGCAAAGGCGAGTATGTGGTGGAGTACCACGGTGATCTCTTGGAGATGGCAGACGCCAAAAAGCGCGAGGCGGAGTATGCCCAAAACCCAGAGACGGGCTGCTACATGTACTACTTTCAGTACCTCTGCAAAGCATACTGGTACACGCTCACTCACTATTGTCAATGCTGAAGAGCAGAAAAGTGCACTTTTCCCACATTGTCCACAGGAGAAATTCCATTGAAACAAATGACGTGATTTTCCACATTTCCTTCCATATTTCAGAATGTATTCAAACCATGACAGCCTAAAACGATTCACCGATTCAAACTATTCCAATTTCAAAATGTTCAGCAGCTCGCTCTGGATATCGACAGAGCCATTCATCACGTTCCAACCTTTTCCCCATTTCACTTTGTTCATTCAACAACACTTAATTCCACAGCATTTCAATTTGAGATAATCTCTTCAGCATTCACATGTAATTACTTTTTTGGGGGGGGGGGGAGTCACGTGACTACTTACGCAATGTTTGCGTCACATCCAGCGTGGACGCCACCAAAGAGACCAATCGTCTGGGGCGTCTGATCAATCACAGCAAGAGCGGCAACCTGCAAACCAAACTGCACGACGTGGACGGCGCACCGCATCTCATCCTGGTGGCGTCGCGGGACATCGATGAGGGCGAGGAGCTGCTCTACGACTACGGCGACCGTAGCAAGGCGTCCATCGCCGCGCACCCGTGGCTCAAACACTAACCCTGAGGAGAACTTCTTTTACTTTGAAACACTACCCCCAGAAGGTCACATTGGGTGTTTTGGGTCAATGCTGAAATTTTACCCAATATCCCCAATTTTTTGGGAGCAGCACATTCTGGTTGTGTTTTATTTTATTTTTTTTATTTGGACATTTTCTGGAGATGACGCACTTGGGCATGCTTCTACAGGTAGGTGCAGTTTTATACAATTTTCACCCCAATTAAGGCACTAGTTTTTAAAGGACATTGAATTCACACGAGAACATTCTCCACACGCTATCACGGCAACATTTTGGGCACTTGTCTTTTTCCCCCTTTTTTTTTTAAATTTATTTTATTATTATTTTTTTTTACACTTTGATGACTGTCAAACACATTGCTGTTTGGTTTTAGCTAAAATTGCTATTTTTTTTTTTTTTTTTTAACTTAACTAGCCGGGGCAGTGTTACAGTTTACATTTGGGGCCACACTGAAAATAAAATAAAGCAATTGTACTACCAGGAAAACATCAATGTCAATGACCGTTAAAGAAAATTCAGCCTGTAATATTGAAAAAGGATTCGTCGTAATGCTGAAATTGTTTCTTAGCTCGTTGTAATTTAAAGCATTCTACTCATTATAACCCCTAATAGGGAAATTGAACATGGGGAAGTTCAACTCGCTAGCCCAAAGTCTTGAGGCTAAACTAAAGTTACAAGCTGTGGCCACGCTGAATCAACTCTAACAAACGAGTCTGTCGAGCAAGTGTTAAAAAAATGACAAATTAAAAAAACGATGACACGTTTATTATTGCAAAGCATTTCATCAGTCTTAACCAAGTTAACGCTGCACTAAACAGTCTGGCGGCAAATTGTCATCTTCTCATGAAAAATGGAACAACTGGAAGGTGTTCCACAAGATTCTTCAAGTCTTCAAACTAAGATAAGCCAAGTCCGCGAGCCGTCGCCTTCCCAAGCTTAACTGCTGTCCATGAGTTTGGCTTCAAATTGATGAAAAGATGATGAAGCAATAAGTTTTATTATTGGAAAAGACTTCCGCCAACCTTGGTGCTAAGCTGAGACAAGCCGACTAGCCGTAGCCTGTGCCGATCGAACCGCTTCTCCGACATAGTCTAGAAAGTAGTTTTATTTTTTTTATATGTAGCCGAAGGGTTGTGTAAAAATAGAACAACTCACACTTACCAACGGATTCAATATATTATTGAATTTCAGAAGAAACAAGCATCTCGTTAGCATCATGTGGCTCTCTATAAAATGTTTTTCTATATTCATATACTGTATATATTTTTTTGCATTGACTTATTGCAATAATAGCCATCATCATCATTATCATCATCATCGTAGGTGCTACAGCATCCAATAAATCTTAATGCTGGTCTTAATGAATAAAGCTGTCAATGCAACTAAACACTTCACTTGTCCCCCCCTCCCCATCATTCAAAAATAACAAAATATATATTTTTCTTCTGCATAGATGACAAGTAATCAGGACAGTACACTAAAAACGGGACTTTGTTATCCAGCCAGCCTATATTATGTGTGCAGTTAATATCTAAAAAAAAAAACTTTTCCGTCACAAAGCTGATGTCGGGCTACACAAAACAGTTAATAAAAACAATGAAAAACGGAAAATAAGTTACAAAGTTATAAACAAGGCCATATTCATGAGTCACACAGCGTTCCAAATTCTTTCTTGCGTACGCTTGTTAAGTGTTAATATGAGTTGTATGTATAGTTTCCCTTCAGTGCGGAGGTGGGGAACATTTTTCGACGCGGCGCCCACAAAGACGTACAGCCAAGCATTTTGGGGTCGAAGCGGCCATTTGAGACATTTCTAGCGGTCCATGAGAGAGACTCATGTTTTGTGTTTTCAATTAGCCCCCAAAACCACCAATGAATATCAAATTGAGAATGTCTACAACAACGGGACGCACCAGAAAGTCTCAAGGACCCCCGGCGGAAATGGAAGCAGACTTCGGGACAGTCTGGTTTGAAGCAGCCATTTTGGAGACAATTCCAGGGCTTGAACTGGCAAACTTCTATTATGAACCCACCGTAATTTGTTTCCAAGAAAATGCTATGATTGGCTGTAGGTCCCCCTTTTCAGCGTTTCAAGAGCCGTATGTGTAAACACCAGGGAAGAGAATTGAATAATGCCTCATTTGCACACCGTGTGTCACAGTTATGCTTGAAGGGATCGGGTCCATGGGAAAAACGCATAAATAATAACGACCTTTGTTTGAAGGGGGTGGGGTTGGGTCTCAGAGGTGACAGCTAAACGTGCGGTAAGGCCTCCTGCGCTTGTTCGGTGAACGCGTCGTCATGCGCGTTGCCACGCTGCCAACTCCGCTGCTTGTCACGGGAAAACAAATTAAACCTGAGAACACAAAGAAAGAACTCTCTGTCACGTGAAATTGGGTAGACGTGTTTATCATAAGTAGACCCACAAAAAAGTCCCAGGGAGCCATGCCTGAAAACGGACAGGAAGTCTGCCATTTTGGTTCAAAGTGGCCATTTTGGCTGAGGCCCACTCGCCAGAATTGTAAAAAGAATTGAGGTGCCCAAAGCCAGTTTCAATTTAGCAAGATGAAATTCGGTCGACGTGTCTACCACGAAGAGACCAATAGAAAAGTGTCAAGAGACCGCCAACCAAAGAGGACATTTTCGGGTAATTTCGCCTTTTCCAAGGTGGCCCAGATTTGGGAGAAACTTCAGCCACTAAAGTCTGTTTCAAACGTGTCACTTGGCAACATGACATCCGGTGGCCAACTTGATCACGAGTGGACTGCCATGCTTGAGAAGACCCAGGAGCTCAACCATTTTGGTTTGAAGTCAGGATTTTAAGCTCCCTCCAGAGTATTCCCAGGATCTCGGAGGGCAAACGATTATGACCAAATTTGAGTCCTGTAATTGAGAGAGACTGGCGACGTGAAATGACCAACTTTTTGTGTGGGCAACGTTTGAACACTCACGATGAAATAAGACGTTCAATGAGGTCAGAGCAAGTTTCACTTCAGAACCTGTAGTTCGGTCAGCATGTCTGTCACGAGTTTTTGGAAAACCATGCTTGAAAAGTCTGCAATTTTGGTTTGCACGTTTTGGAGTCATTTCCTTGACAAACTCTTCCAAGGGATTTTGCCCGAGATCTTTTGAAAACATCTCTGTGGACACATTCGATTAGTTTTTTAGTGTCAAACCACACCATCGCCATCGTTAAGCTATCTGACTGGGATTTGTCGGGAATTAAAAGGAGGTTAGGGTGGGGGAAAAAAAACAAATGGGGTCATACGAGCGCCGCAAAGCCTCGGGCAGGCTGTAAAGTGGGATCGTCTCGGATCAAACCAGCCGCCACCATGGGCATGATAGCAGTGAAGATCCTGTCACAGAGAGGAGGGGAGGCGGGGGGAGGGGCAACAAGGACCTTGTCAAAGCCTTCACCTTGACAAAAGTGACCACAAATTGCACAATGCCGGTCTTTCCATCTGGAATGACCTTCCGTTAAATGTTAGGCAAGGCCCCTCCCTGTCCATTTTCAAACCTTGTTTGAAGACGCATCTTTAGTCCTTGGCTTTCGACCCAACAGGAGATTGACACTGTTCTATTGTTTCCTGGTGTCTCCCGTATGTGTGTCAGTATCATTAACTTGTGTTTTAATTCACTCTTTTCACATTTTTTGCTTGTTGTATTGTTGTTATTTTAGCTTCTGTGTAAAGTGCTTTGTTACAGCTGCGGAAGAATGCGCCATATAAAGAGTTGTTTTGTATTTTAAGCATCTTACTTGGCCATGTAATTGTTGATGTATTTGTATATTTTGTACACTAGATTGTAAATATATTTTGTTGTTGTATTTGTGTATATTTTATGTAATTAATTGCTGTTGCGTGAGTGAGTCTGAGCAAGTGTGTGAGCCTGTTGCGTCTGTGTTATTATTATTACGTATGCGCTCATGTGAGAGTGTTTGTAGGTCTGCGAGCGTGTGTGTGTGTGTGTGTGTGTGTGTCTGTGCGTGTGTGTGTGTGTGTGTGTGTGTGTGTGTGTGTGTGTGTGTGTGTGTGTGTGTGTGTGTGTGTGTGTGTGGACAACATACAGGCGTTTGATCCCAGACTCTGGCTGCACAGCAGAGCGCGATCGCGTCCTGGATTCGGGCTCGGGACTAGGAGAGGCCGTGTCTTCTTCCGTTTCGTCGCTAGAGGGGCATTGGCCATTTTAGTGCCATCTTGTGAATGGGAATGGAAATGACATCATCATCCGCTGACCTTTTGTAGTAGGCCAGCTCCTCCTGCAGCAAGAAGACTTTGGCTTTGAGCTCGTTGCGCTCGTGCAGGACATCCCGCAACTCCTGCAGGGTGAACCGGGCCCGGTTGGGGTCCTTGAAGTCCGGAAGCTCCGTGGTTGTGTCCTCCTGGCACAACGCCTCCTGAGAGAAGAGAGTGGGTACGGAAAGCTGTTTGAATATTCATTCCATATCATTGATAGGCAGCTTAAGATCCAAGTACTTGTACGCTCTTTGTCCTTCCCCGTAAGACAGTTAAGCACACTACTTTTAGTATTTAGTGAGCTTTGATCCAGTAAATGCTCCTCAGAAATCCATGGATTAACGTGGTGTGCTGCAGGGATCCATTTTAGGCCCTACCCTGTTTAGTTTGTACCAGTATATGTAGAACAACTGTGCCTTTTTTTCCCCCCACTACCTTCCAATACTGTACGATATTCCGAAATACTCGAAGGACAACAACATGTCACTGTTGAGGCAAAAGTGCATTCGTTGGCATCTGCATGCTACTAGTACTCTACAACTATGGAAGTAGTACTTACTTTGGGTTGTATCGCAGGAATATTGGTCATGCACAAAGTTGATGAAGAGTTTCAAATGTTACGTTAGCAACAGCCACCACAAACTCACAACAAGCTTCAGGTAAATTGTAAACAAATGGGGGGCGGGAAGGTCACTACATAAAACACTGAAGTTACGGTCCAACTCACGGTAAGTGGTGCACAACAAGTCAAACGCACACAACTACCAATATACCAAGGGGAAACAGTCGTGAATAAATTGTTACTAGTGAAGACACCGTTCTACATATTCAAATTAAACAGGGCAGGACCTAAAATTGATCTCTGCGGCACACCACATTCTTGAGTGGATTTTTAAGGAGCGCATATCTATGCCTTCCATGAAAGTTTTGTCAGTGACGTAAGATTAAACAAACATAAATAAATTAATAGATTGCGTACAACCCCAAAGAGGCCAACCTCAGCACTGTTTTAAAAATTGACAATAGAATTGGGTCTAGAAGACAAGCAGTGGGCTTCACTTGCTAGTGGGGACAAAGAGAGTAAATCCACCTTGAGATGGATTCTCAAGAAAATTAAATAAATGCTCCAATGGCTTTCCACAGTTGAGACAGAAAGTGAGGATACCTTAGTGAAATATTGGTACACAGCAGGCATGTCGTCATCGCACATGGCCTCCTGGTGGCACACCAACAAAGCACGCCTCATTGTTTGCCTTCCACATCAGTTTGATGTCGATTTCTTTTTTTTTTTTGGACTCATTATTGGACATCACGTCTTTCACTTAGCAAACAACACATCGCGATGGGCCTATTTCAGACTCAAGTCATGGCCTACTCAACTGCAGACTGTCAGCATGCTGATCTGAAGTTGAGGAGATTCCCTTCTACTAGAAAAGTAGTGCAGTGCCGCTATCTTGTGACAACTACCGGCAGAGTGTGTGTGTGTGTGTGTGTGTGTGTGTGTGTGTGAGTGTGCTTGGCACGAGTCGTGTATGTGATCTTATTTTGTCGATGTGCGTGATCGCGTGTGTGAGTGAGTTGTGTATGTGGGAACGTATGTGACACGAGTATGTGTGAGACCACGCCCACACACACACACA